TTTGTATTATTGCAAAGCAAAATAACTGTACTTATTTCCACCTCGGTGCATAAAGAACTTTGAAATTTTACAGTACTGATTTGTTGAATAATAGATTACAGAGATTATAGTAAGTATAACTGAAGGTAGCTAGTAAGAGCACAGAAGTACTGAGAAAGAAAAAAACTGAAAACTAAAATTATGCCCTAAACCTACTACCCTAGAAAATGCTAGAAAACACAAGAATACAGAAGCATATATTCCATTAGCCATCAGAGTGATGATGCATGTTATATAGACTCAGGAAGACTCCATTGTAGACTCATGAAAGAATGAGAATGAAAAGGTGAATAACATTTTAGAATTACTCTGAAATTTTGGCTTCATGACCAGGCCATCCAAAGGTTTTGGGAACCCTTAGGAGCTCGTGGACTATGTTTTGAAAACTGCTGTTCTAGATGATTTTTTTAATACGTAGGGCTTCCGCTACTATCTATATGCTGACTTCTGAACTCCTTCCTTAGTTATGTGCTTTCTTACTGTTAGGCCCTGGCATATGCTATTTGTTCTGCCCATAATTTCCTTGTGTCCTTTGTTCACCTGGCAAACAACTGGATTGTGAGCTTCTTGGAGTTAGGAATTGGGACATCTTTATATTCCCAGGTTTTAGCAGAATGCCTAGCACACTGTATGTAGGCTGCTCAGGATATGTTCTTGAATTAAATTGAATCAAGGAAGAATTCCAGCCTCATCAGCAATAAATTCGCGGTTCATCTCAGGGTAAATTTTTCTATTTATGTCTAATCTCATTCTTTCTATATTGGTTTGTATTAGCTTCAGCTTTATAGAATAGGATTTTATAACCTAGTGCTCAAATTCAGGGAATATACCCTTTAGATGTTACAGCTGGTCCCCTGTGTATTGATTTGCCCTACAGCTTTTGTTTTGTTTCCTTTTGCCTTGCGTAGAGTATAATATATTCTCAAAGGAAGGTCTTTGGGCTGAGGTCTCAACAGGTCTTACCTCTTGGTTCTGTCTCTGATTGTTGAGGGTGTTTCACAGGACAGTTAGCAACTGCTTCTCTCCCCTAAAATCACCTGATTTCTGTCACCATTCATGGAGGAAACAATGTATGTATGTGTTTTAGTTTCTCTGAAGGAAGATGTTCTAGCTTCCAAATGATAATTAACATTTATTGAGTTCTTATGAAATACCAGAGACTATTGCTAAGTGTGTTACATGTGTTAACTCATTTAATCTTCATAGCAGCTCTCTGAGGTAGGTTCTTTCATAATCCTCATGTTATACTGCAGGAAACTGAGGCACAGAAAGGGTAAATAACTTGCCAAAGGTTGTGCAGATAGTAATAGGGCCAGGGTTTGAACTCAGAGGAGTTTGCCTCCGGAGGCTGTGCTCTTGACTACTTTAAGTAGGTTCCTCGCAAGTCTAAATATATTACTTTTATCGTTAATCTATGTTAGTACCACATGCACAGATAGATGCTCATTTCAACATTATTTATAACTGTGAAATTGAAAATAACTTAAGGGAATACCTAAATAAATACAAGTAGTCCCTAACTTAAGATGTATTCGAGTTACAACGAACCACACTTACGGCCATCCTTTTTTTTTTTTTAATTTTTATTTTTCGGTACATCTTATCGTTAGTAATAAGTGCTATATACAGTGTCACAGTGCATAATTTACTGATGTTATCATTCTCAGATGTGATGTTTCCAACCCCGAAAGACAAAGATCGGATTTATAAAGATATTAATAATAAAGGGCAATAATAATGAAAACTAAAATAAAAGGAGGTTTTTGACTTACGTTAGAACTGACTTATGACGGAGTAGTTGTTGGAATAGAACCCCAAAAAATCACATTTTTGAAGAATACTTAATGATATGGAAAACTACATTAAGTTTAAAAAATAAAATAAAAATTTCAATTTTGGTTTGAAAAGATTATATAATGATATATATGTGTATATGTTATATAAACCAAAAAAAAAAAGCCCATTGCGATCGAGTGAATTCCGACTCATAGCGACCCTGTGGACAGAGTAGAACTGCTCCAAAGGGTTTCCAGGGAGTGGCTGGTGGACTCGAACTGCCGACTTCTTGGTTAGCAGCCAAGCTCTTAACCACTGCATCACCAGGGCTCCATATGTTATATATACATATATAAATATATACAAGCAAATATTTATTTTAGAAGATTAGAAAGAAATGTGATAGTGATTCTTTCTGAGTAGTGTAATTATGAGAAATCGAGTTTTAAAAAAATGTTTAGAATAATTATTTGTTAGATACTCCTTATGTGCTAGGCACCATATAAATTCTTTACATATGTTTTCCCATTTAACTCCCCCATCAGTCCCATGATGTAGGTACTATTCATTTTCAAATGAAGAAACTGAGGCCTAGAAAGATTAAGTAACTTGACTAAATCATACAACCAGTAAGTAGAAGCGTTGGGACCTCTATGTTAGACTCTTTCTGTTTTGTGTTTTCTAAACTTTCTATAATTCGTGTATATTATTTACATGATCAGAAACAAAATTAATTTTAAAGATTATGCAAACCTGTTGGGATCTACAACAAACTATAGACTTGTACAATCTGGCAAGATTTATTCGTTTAGACTGTTGATACCCTAAACTAGCTATGCACAGTAACAGAAGCATGGGACTTGAATGAAATTAGACCAAGAATTTAAAAAATTAAAGTATACTCAGTGGTTTCTATTCTCACAAGGATTTTTTTTTTTTTTTTTTAAACATGGAGATTAAGGAAGAAAAGGTCCACCTAGTCATTTCTATTAGATGAATAGACCATGTCAGTAGAGGGTCAGACTAATGTTAGTGAATGAATGATGTCTGTGTGTACCTCTGTCTCACACACACAGACACGCACACCTATATCTATGAAATAGGGATCAAGGATGTATGGAGAATCGGGTCAAAAGCAAGAATACATGAAAGAGAAACGGGCCTCAGAAACTTCTGTTGAGTCAGTTGTTCCCATTCAAAAATGTAAGTTAGTAGAAGAACAGAAGAGGAATAAAATAGTTTCTCTAATCCCTGAAGAAAAGTGGGAACATTGCTCTCAAGATATAATTCTTCTTAACTCTTTCTTCATATTTTCACTTTTTTAAAACCCAGTGAAAATAGTTGAGACATTTCTGTATTGTTTTATCCACTGATCTGGGTAATATTGTTGCTTTCAGCCATAAAACTTACTACAATCAAGTGTAATATAAAGAAATTCTTTTTCTGCTTCTGTTCCTTAACAGCATCTTCAGTCCTGAGTAGGGTGCCCAGCTGTCCCAGTTTTAGCACTGAAAGTCTTGCATCCTGGGAAATCACTCAGTCCTGGGCAAACTGGAACAGTTGGTCACCCTAATACTGAGTGTGAACATTACAGTCTAGGGATGGGGATGGTGGCATGTAAGAAGGGAGGAATGGAAATGAGAAGTACTGATGTATGAAGAGAACATTTTTTTTTTCCTTTTGAAGGATGTTTACTATAGCTAAGAATGTGAAAATCAGTAAGACAGTATCTGTATGCTTCGTAGTAGTTAGTGATCACTGCGTTAGGGATGAGTATTAAATGGACCCCTGTGTTTGGGTCTGCGTTCTTCAGTACTGATACTAAAAGACAAGTTGGGATAGAGAAATGTCATAATGATTTTGAGCTCTCTTGAACATAGAAGTACATTCTGCTTTCATTGTAGGCTTTTGCTTTTAAGATAAACTCTTCTGGCTCTGGGTAACCTTATTTTAGCAAGTTGAGATATGAATATTTTTACTTTCAAATACAGGACATTTATGCAATTGCAAACCGCTTTAAGTATTATTTGTTGATACCTTTAGTTAGTGCTTAAGAGGAAGACTTTCTGCAAGGTGCCTGTTAGATCAGTTTTGGTTTTAGTTTTGCCTTGGTGTTCCTCAGCAAGCTTATCTCTCTTCTCTTGTTCTTGTTCTTGGTTTCTTACCCTACAGGGAGGTGTGGGAGATGGAACTGGATAGACTCAAGAATCAGGATGGTGAAATAAATCGGAACATTATGGAAGAGACAGAACGGGCCTGGAAGGCAGAGGTGAGGTCAAAAGCTGATATCTTGAAAACCTTGGTTTTGGACTTTCAGGTGAATATAAGTTTGATATAGTGTTATAAGAGCCACTAAGCATTTAACCATATAAGGGTAGCTTCATGTATATAAAAATTAATAAAGCATGTGTGCTGTATGTTTATTTATGGTTTCCTTAGATCTTGTCACTAGAGAGCCGGAAAGAGTTGTTGGTATTGAAACTAGAAGAAGCAGAAAAAGAGGCAGAACTGCACCTTACTTACCTCAAGTAAGTACATTCCCATTGTAGGGTTTTAATGATCCCACAGGTTTTGTTTTGTTTTTTGTTTTGTTTTTTTTTAGGTTTTTATAACCTTAGGCAGCAAGCCTGGCACTTAACTCTGTCTTCATGAGGGCCATCTCTGTCTGTGCAGCAGTAACTGCTCAGTGATTTCTCTTCCCATATTCTAAACCTCCTTACTCCTTAACTCTTCCCTTCTACAGTTTTATACTTTTTACTGTATTATTTCTGTTTGGGTAAATAGTATCTGTTGTCCTGTCAAAGCATAACAAAGGTCTTTGGAGATTTGTGTCTTATATATGCAGGTAGTCCCTGACTTAAACCATGTATTCTTGTTACAGCAGACTTTTTTTTTTTGTACATCTAAGCGTTAGTAATATGTATTACATACAGTATTGCAGCACATAATTTGCTGATGTTATCATTCCCATACCAACCCCCAAAGATAAAGATCGTGTTTATAAAGATACTGATAATAAAAAGCAGTAATAAAAACTTAAAAAAAAAAAAAAAAGAGGTATTCGGCTTATGTCAGAACGGACTTACGACAGAGTCTTTGTAACGGAGCCCCATCGTAAGTTGGGGGCTACCTGTAGTCATTTCTTGCCTTGGAATTTGGAGGACCCTTGTGGCATTTTTAAGCAGGTAAGAGCCCTCTCTTTGTGGATCCACTTTCTTGAATATTTGGCTTAAAACGTAATGGAGTTAAAGTGAGGCAAAGAACTTAGAATCTTGGGCTTCTGCTACATCTGCTCATACCTCTTAGGGCCCATTAGCCAGCTGCTGTTTTGCTATCTCAGAGAATTAGGGATAGAGCTTTCTTTAATTCTATAAATTCCTGGTTTTTTGGAAGGTCAACTCCCCCAACACTGGATACTATTCGTTCCAAACAGGAGTGGGAGACAAGACTGAATGGAGTTCGGATAATGAAAAAGAATGTTCGGGTAAGTGTAATAATGTGTGATCATTCATTCAGTGTTGTTCTGTGCTTAAACACTTCTGGTGATTGGGAGGTGACCTTTTGCATTGGGACCATCTTACCATTCCCCTTGTTTTCCTGATAATGGATGGTGCTCTTTTTCTGGAGAGGCTGTCTCAGCTCAGCAGTAAAAGGTAATCCTTTTCTCTCTTTTCTAGGACCAATTTAATAGTCATATCCAGTTGGTGAGGAACGGAGCCAAGCTGAGCAGCCTTCCTCAAATCCCTACTCCCACCTTGCCTCCACCCCCTTCCGAGGTAAGGGAGCTGGCTTTGGGGAGTCTACTTTTCCATGTTGGTGGCAGAGCCAGAGTCTTTAACCTGCTCTTTTTATGAAGATATTGGGGTCATCCTTATTTAGTGCAAGAGTTGCTCGTTAATGTCTGCTCCAGTTTCCTAAACTTTCTTTTTCTTCCTTTCTCTCTTTGTCTTCTACCTCTTCCCCTCTGCAGACAGACTTCATGCTTCAGATGTTTCAACCCAATCCCTCTCTGCCCCCTCGGATGCCCTTCTCCATCGGGCAGGTCACAATGCCCATGGTTATGCCCAGTGCAGATCCCCGTTCCTTATCTTTCCCAATCCTGACCCCTGCCCTTTCCCAGCCCAACCAACCTTCCCCACCCCTTCCCGGCTCCCATGGGAGAAATAGCCCTGGCTTAGGTTCTCTTGTTGGCCCCCATGGTCCACACATGCCCCCTGCTGCCTCCATCCCGCCTCCCCCAGGCTTGGGTGGTGTTAAGGCTTCTACTGAATCTCCCCGGCCCCAGCCAGTAGACAAACTGGAGAAGATCCTGGACAAGCTGCTGGCTCGGTTCCCACAGTGCAATAAGCAAGTATCTTTAAGGATTAATTTAAAAAACATTTGTCAGAGAAATGTTTATGGGTTAAAACAGGGGAGGTTTCATGGGTGTACCCCATGGTATAGCATAGAATCTCTCTCTCCTCAATATTTTTCTTCCTTAGGGCCCAGATGACCAACATTCTTCAGCAGATCAAGACAGCACGCACCACCATGGCAGGCCTGACCATGGAGGAGCTGGTCCAGTTGGTGGCTGCACGACTGGCAGAACATGAGCGGGTGGCAGCAAGTACTCAGGTAAGAAAACCTACTTGAGGGAGAACTCAGTCTTGCTGGGATACTGCGGGAGAGGCAGATTTCAGCAAAATTTAAGGTGGGAAGAAGATTGCAGCAAAGACTATCTAGCCTGCTTTCTTCCTTTGCTGAACTGGGAAACAAAAGATTTCTTTTTGTCATACGCTCGGTTACTGAGACTCCCTTCTCTTACTCTGACAATGTTTCTGCCCACAGCCACTTGGTCGGATCCGAGCCCTGTTCCCTGCTCCACTGGCCCAAATCAGTACCCCAGTGTTTTTGCCTTCTGCCCAAGTTTCTTATCCTGGAAGGTCTTCACATGTAAGACTCTTTTTCTTTGAGAACTGGAATATGGAGAAGGGGGGAGTGGGCTTACAGGTGAAGTGCAGAAAGAAGCCATCGTCTCATCAGCTGAGTTGTTTGCAGCCCCACCTGGGAAAATGCAAGTAATTTAGGCAAGAATCTACAGATGAACTTTATTTCTTTTGGTGTAAAGTCTTTATTTATTTATTTAAACTGTGCTTAGCCATTTTAGTCATTTTTAAGTGTACAAATTCATTGAGATGAATTACATTCACCATGTTGTGCTGCCATCACTACTATCCACTTACAAAACTTCTACATCCCCCTAAACAGAACCTTAGTACGCCTTCAGCAAGAACTCCCATTCCCTCCTCCCCACAGCCCTTGGTAATTTTTGTTTCTATGCATTTACATATTCTAGATATTTCATATAAATGGGCTGATACAATATTTGTCCTTTTGTGTCTTGACTTGTTTTACTCAGCATAATGTTTTCAAAGCTCATCCATGTTGTAGCATGTATCAGAAATTCATTTCTCTTATAGCTGAATAATACTCCATTGTATGTGTATACCACATTTTGTTTATCCATTCATCTTTCTGAACATTTGGTTTGTTAACACCTTTTGGCTATTGTGAATAATGCTGCAGTGAACATTGGTGTACACATGTGTGTTTGAGTCCCTGCTTCAGGTCTCTTGGGTATATACCTAGGAGTGGAATTGCTGGATCATATGGTAGTTCTATGATTAACTCTTTGAGGAACCACCAAATTGCTTTCCACAGTGGTTGCACCATTTTTCATTCCCACCAGAAATGCATGAGGGCTCCAATTTCTCCATATCCTCGCCAACAGTTGTTAGTTTCTGTTTTTCTCATAATAGCCATCCTAATGAGTGTGCAGTGAGATTTCATTGTGGTTTTGATGGTGTAAAATCTTTTTGCTGAATGGAAATAGTAGATGGAATCATGGGCATAATAGGAGACAAGGAGACCCAGAGGTTACTTACCCTTTTGACCATGCCTCCTCTGTCCTGCAGGCTCCAGCCACCTGTAAGCTGTGTCTAATGTGCCAGAAACTTGTCCAGCCTAGTGAGCTGCATCCAATGGCATGTACCCATGTGTTGCACAAGGAGGTGGGTGCTATACTACCTTCCTCATTTTCTGCTCTTCCTGTTAGCTGAGAATTTTTCTTGAACATCTACTGTGTTGATGCTCATCATTAATATCCAAACTTATGGTTTATAGTAAATTGTGACTTAAACATCAGCAGAATCCAGAATACTGGCAACTAGGATCTCCCAGCTTCCTTTTACCCCATTCCCTTCAGGGGACTGAATAAGCAATTCATACTAGAGCACAGATAGGTCTCTTTCTTGGAAAATTGATAAGAGATAATCCCATTTATCTAACCTTTGTTTCAGATTTAGCACTGTCAAAAGACTTTGCTTAGATGAGAGGAATGGAATATGAGAACCTGAATGTGAGATTAGTAACTCCATTAACAGAATAGCTTGAAAGCCTGCCTGCTAAAGATTATCTTCACAACCTGACAGGTTGTCCCTATCTCTTAGTGTATTACCAGGCAGAATTAAGTCTCTTAGCAGCAGGGATGATTCCTTCTTTACTGTTTTGTGTTGTTTCATTTTGTTTTTCCAAGAGGTAGAAACTGAATTTAAATCTTAGTTCTTGGTAAGAGAAGATCTTGAATAAGATTTGAGGGGTATTAGGAGTATCAGATATGTGGTATTAGGAGATGGAAGTTCATCTCAGCCTAAATGAGAGCAAGCCACATTAGATATTAAACAAAAAGTAGTGTTATACTATTATTAGCAGATTGTTAATATTCCCTGTAAAAAGGAAAGGTTTGCCTGTTTGAAGATTCTTTGGGGGGTAATGAAATAACCCCTTTATTCCCCCATGGTAAGAGTTTTTCCAACTTAGTATACATTCCTTAGACCTTGTTGAACCTTAACTGCACTCTCTCCCCTTCCTTCCCTCCATTTTTCCAGATAAACCTGAGGCGTGTCTTTCTTTCTTTCCAGTGTATCAAATTCTGGGCCCAGACCAACACAAATGACACTTGTCCCTTTTGTCCAACTCTTAAATGATGGACCTGACTGGGGAGGAAGAAGAGGAGAAACTGATGTGAACAGGAAGGAGCGGGTTCAAGATTTCTTAAACTCTATATTTATACAGTGACATATACTCATGCCATGTACATTTTTATTATATAGGTAACGTGTGTATAGAAAATCTGTATTCAAATGTTCGTAAATGAAAGTATGTATATAGTGCAGAAGCGGTCTGTTCCCCCTCATGTTGCAGTTCCTATTGGGGATGCAGATTATAGGGAAATGGTATTTAGTTTGGCCTTGAAATTATGATATCCCTGCTAGGGCTGTTTTCAAATACAATATAAAAACCATCTAGGACGCTGCTGTTGCTCTAAGGCCATCCTGCTTTGATTTGGCTCAGCCTCTGGTCCATTTTCTTAAGGCTCTTGTATGCAGGTTTGAACCCTGGTGCTTACCCACTGTCTAAGCAGATGCCTTGCTTACCGAAAGCCTCAGGGTTGTTCTAGCCACTCTACTCCAAAAGGATAAAATGAGACTGATTGAGGAAAAAAAAATGTGTCCCTAGTGGTTTGACTTTTCATTGAATATTTTACTGTGTTACCGCTCATTATTTGTACATAGACATTAGGTTTAGAGAATATTCTGTTTTACATCAGCAAAATTCACAGTCCAAGAATAACAACATAATCAGGTCCCATTTCCCCCAAACCCCCCACGATCTTCTGTTCACTCTACTTCCTGGATACAGTCTCTATTTAGAAACTGGCAGAACCCACAGGTTTTTCCTGGGCCAAGCTATCCCTTGGCTACCACTGAGTTGGTTTCTACTGAAGCTCTAACAGGCCAACCTTGTGAAGTCCTCGTCTCTTCCCCTCCACTTCTGGTCTCCTAGTCTAGCTAACCCCCCTCCCCCCTGAAGGTTAAGGCAGTTGGTTCACAACCAAGTTGTTTGGTGACCTTGGGTGAGCTCCAGACAGGCACTGGGGTGAGGAGATGTCTGTGCAAAATTACTTGCAGAATGATCTTGAAATGCTAGGTTTTAATTTTAGAAACAAGAAAGCTATGGGGGACATGTTTCCTGTCCTGGGAAAAATGCAGACCAGAGTGATACGAATAAGGAAGGTTGGATTTCAAGTTTATGAATCCTTTGCTCTGTGGATAGCTCTCTGGAAGTAGATCATTTTTTCACTGATGATTATCAAGCCCTTCTGGTTTTTAGGTTTCATACCTGGGAAAAGCTGTGAGTCTGTTATAACATTGAATCCTTTCCTGTCCTTTTTATCTTTACTCCTACCAGAAATGGTTTCAGCTTCCTTCTCTTTTGAAATTAATCAACTGAAAACTGTTAATTAAAAAAAAAAAAAAGTTTCCAGGGGAAGGACATTATTATATTACTAACAGTTGAATTTCCCTTTCTGGGACCTGGAAATACTTGTCATGCTAGCGATACACACCAGGGTGGCAAAGACTTTTCCTTTCAGGTCCAATTAAATTCTCTCCTTTCTGTCTTTGTTCTGTCTTTCATCCTTGCCTTTCATTTCATGGATGTATTCTTTCTTTTATCTTGCCTTAATTGCCCAGGTTTATTGACTAACATCATTTTAAGGAGCTGGACTTCCTGAGTCCTCCTTGGTGTCTTGCAGAGTGATTGAAATAGCCTGAGTGCTCCACTGTTGTAGAGGTCCGAAGACCCACTTTCTCTGGTTAATGAAATACTAATGTCTCCCGTTTAGTATCTGTTATGAACAGGAAATGTGGCAAAATGGAAGACCAGTTCCTTTGTTCTTTTCATTTGGGGGATTCATTTTTTATTTTGTAATCTAATATTCTCTCTTTGCAGCAGCCTTTGGGCCACCTGCAATATTTTTCAGTATCCTCTGAAAATTTAGAAATTAGAGATGAGTATAAAGAATATTCTGTTTCTTTTCCAAAAATCTTTGAAGCCATAGGAGTAGATAGAAAAAAAAGGAGGAGGTACATAGGGGACCTTAGCTTGCTTGCTAGTAAAAGTCCCTGGAAAGTCAACTATAGCAGGAGGACAAGTGTTTGGGAGATTTGTGCATGGGAGCTGGGGCCTTGTTGTTGCTCTTTTCTCTTTCTTGTTTAGGAACAATTAGAAAGCAACACTTAAGTTTCAGCTACCCTTGTTCTCCCTTTTCCCTCTTTCCACTGGCCTGCAGTGGTAAAAACCATGCAAGCCAATGGGAAAGGCCCCAGATGAGGTAGGGGGGAGATGGGACCGTCAGTTTTCAGGGGTAGAATTAAAAAATAGAGATATATAATACATATTTTTACAAGTAAGAACCCATTGTCAAGATTTTTTTCTTTTTTTACACCTAGAGTTCATAGTTGCAGGGCAGAAAGGAAATAACTGTAAAAAGAAAAATAAGTACAAGCAGTTTTCTCCTTAAAAAAAAAATAATAACAACAGGACAGTAGGACTTACTAATAAAGAGTTTGAGTTTTATGCCCTGGAAAGAGCTGGGGAAAAGCCGGTTTTCCCCAACATGGGTAGAAATTATAAAGGAGAACATGGCATTTTCATTTCACGGTAGCAATTCTGGAAGTTATTTACACAGTAAATTCTGAGCTGGAAGTGGACAGTCTCGTCTTCCTGTTAGTCTTTGTGGTTATGGGGTGTTCCCAGTCAGCCAAAGCAGCACCAAGTGCGGAGGGAATGAAGAGAACCCAGATAAAAAGCTGTGACTCAGTATCCTTGTTTTATTGGTTTATGGCTTGTGGGCAGCCAGCTATGGCCAGGAACTGTAGAGGCCCTCCTTGTATTTCCCTCTCCCTTGTCAGGTAATCCCATACTAGGCAGGTCCCATACCTGGAAGCAGTGTGTTGACCAGATAGGATGCAGTGGGTGTATCAGAAAAATTTAGCTCTTCCCACTAACACTGGTATCAGTCTACTGTGTTAGAACTGATAGGGAGGAAATGAACTTGGTCCCCACTATCTAGCCCAAGAACCAGTCTGGGTACCCAAGTACTACCTGGAGTGGAGAGTAGACAGCAGGATAGGGGGAAATGATGAGGGGCTCTTACGGTGAAGGAAATAAGGAAGCCCTGTGGCTGCCATCCTCTTCCAGGCAGCCTCGATACTGAAGATGATGTTGCTAGAGTCAGAAAATGCTGTGTTTCTGGCACTTTTGGTATAATACTAGTGCCACTGTGGGATGCCTTAACCAAATAAATGGAGGAGACATTAGGGTGTAAAGGCAATGAAACAGATCTGTATTATGTAAAGATCTTACCGCACTTACAGCTGAATAGGAAGAAATCCAGGCAGAGGTATAGGGCATCAACCCTATACCTATTGAGTGAATCTTCAGGATTCTGCTTTCAAGGATTAGGTAGGAGAGGTCTCCTGTCTATTCCTCTTAGCACCTTGGCTGCAAAGCTCCAGAGGAATAAGGATTTGGGGGAGGGAATGAACCAGCCCTGCTATATTCCATTGGCTCTCCCATAGGGCACCTGGGGCCTAGGGGGTTGGGATATTTCAGTGCTACCTATTGTATGTAGAATAAAGGGTTTAGGTAAAGACAAGTGGAATTAGTAAGGTAGAAATTCATTTGTTAAGTGGAACTTCTTAGTGGGCACTTCTCATTTAAGAGCTAAAAAGTGCTCTTTGGCTAGGTCAGCCCTCTTCCCATCTCACTTTTGGTCAGGCTGCAACCACAGAAAAGAAAACACTGGGATGCAACACTCATCGTATGAAATGAAACTCTATCTAGGAGATGAGGTCTAAAACTGGAACTGGCCAGTGGTTGTTTCTGCCTTTGATCCTAGCTATCTAACTATTCCCTGTCTTTGTAAGCCCTCGCCTTCTCCTCTTCCGGACCTCCCCAATTTGTACAAATATTCAATCTAATTATTTTCTGTTTAATTCAAGAGACAATCTTTGCACCAGTGTAGGCTTGTTTATACAGACTCTACAGCAAACAGCAAACTATGCGTCCTCTCCTACTGACTTTGGCCAGCAGGAAAACAAGATTGGCCCTTTCTCTGCCAGGGTACCACAGAAACACACACTGGGGTAAACTGAATGTGATGCCAGTACCTGGAATTAAGAAAAGAAGAATACTTTGGGTTGGAGACGCTACAGGGATGGTGGGCAAAGATTCAGGAATGAAGTTTGAAGCAGCAGAATTTCCCAACTCAAGTTTATGGTGACCAAGAGTATTCCCACCACTAGAGCACTTGGTTCTTCCCTCTCCTATTTCACAGGGTGCAATTCCCATAACCCACCTTGCCAGCTTTGCCTTCTTTTCTGTCAAGGCCAGAGGCATTTGGTGGGTGGATGAGGGTCCTGAGGTGCTCTGGCCACAGGTGCCATTGCTGTCTCCTACTTGTGACCAAAGTGAACCACACCGATGTGGTCCAGGGGAATGTCTGTCTTCTGCCCATGGACCCCTTCACTTCAGCAGGGAGATGTCATCAGCAAAGTCATCATGCTGATGGCGTAGGCAGCGGAGGCAGCGCCACTGACACACCATGAGGCAGAGTGGCAGCATGAAGAGGGCGCAGATGGCAGCCATGACATAGGCTATGGTCATGAGGGTTGATTCATCTGTCTGTGGAATGTTGTAGCCACAGTCTTCCATGTCTGGCGTGACAAAAGGACCTTCTACTGCTGCTGTCCTGAACTCGTCGTGCACTGGGAAAAGGGCAAATGTGAATGGCAGCTCTCATTGTCATATAGCAGTTTGGGTTATACAACATAAAGAACTTCTGGATAGTGAGACTGTAGAATCTCCTTCCTTGGAGATGTTGAGGAGCAGGACAGAAAGCCTATGCCAGATGGAGGCATGTCTCCCCTCCCAGGTCACTGGGAACAACAACCCTTTCCTTTATACCTATCTAGTAGGAATAATACCTAAAAGTAGTTCTGAGTTGACCACAAAAAGCCAGTCCCTTATATACCCCTAGTAAGTTCACCTGTCACTGCTGAAAGCCAACCACAGGACCCTGCCATCTGCCCACTTTCTGGGCACTCAGCCTCATCATACAGCAACTGATAGGGTCACCAGAGGCCCAGCCTACTGCCCTTGGGTCTAGAGTTCCCCAGGGTGCCTAGGCAGCTCTTACTCCTCTGAGTTTCCAGCAGAGGTCACCAAGCCAGGCAGGGGTCACCAAGCCAGGCAGTAAAGGAAAAGGACAAGTACTAACACTAGCGTTTGCACAGTATGTTGACTTTGGCTGCAGGCAACTGTTACTACCTCCCAAACTGGCAGGCTCCCAGGTGTCCTAATTGCTGGACAGGTTGAACATGGATAGACTGACCCCACGCCCTCATCCCTGGCTCTCACCATGGCAAGCGCTGACAGCAAAGCCAATTCGTTTTCGGGCCCGATCAAAGACAACATAGAAGCCCTCCATGATAACGGCTCCCATAACAGTGCCCGTGGATGACTGTGAGATGGCGAACTTGTAACAGTCGTCTTGGGATGTGGCCACATCTTCCACGGGCCGCAGGTATTGCTAGGGGTAAGCAGTCACAGGTGAGAGTATGTCTTTCTCACTCTATCCTGTATCCTGTCTCTATCTTTTGGGTATTTCTGCCCTTATGTAGCTCTTCCCTTTGCCATCCCTGAGTTCTGCGGGGTTGGGTTTTCCAAGGGCCCTTTATCTTTGGACATTCATGTGTTTCGTCTCCTAGTTCTGGAAAGCTGTATCTGCTCACTAGCCCCTAGTGTGTACTTTTTCTTCTTCCTGGGATCCCACCGATTGGAGGTGGGGACATACCTGTGGGAGGATAGTGATGCGGAAGGACTGATTGGTGGCCTCACCCATTAGGTAGAGTGAGATGACTGGGAAAATGTTCCAAGGGGTGGTGCCTGCTTGCCAGCACACCAGCTGCTCCCCTAGCCAGAAACCGTCTGGGAACTTCTCCGTCTGTGTTGGCAAGAAAGGGATAACAATGAGGAAAGAAACTCTTTCACCATTTCTCATTTTCAGATAACTGACTGGGGCCTGTGTTCGCTCCTCCAGTGGAATAACCAAACTGGAGAAAGATAGACTACAACCCAAGGATTAGAATAAGAGATCAGGAGACTGAAGTAAAAAATTTGTATCAGGGAGATTGTGTGATGAGCAAACTGAGGCTCATAAAGAAGGGATAAGAGAACGTTTTTAGGAGATCTAAGTGGAAGGTTCTAAGGGTAGATATCATGGCTCTTGTTGAAGAATGTGGCGTTCGCTGACTTTCTCTGACATTTGCTTTCTGTGTCATCTCTTGTACCCCTATCCTTAGTCCCACTGACCGAGGAGGCTGCCTTGATGGATTTGACTGCAGCTTCAAACACTTTCTTGGGCAAACGAAGGTTGGTGGTGCCACTGTCCACGATGCTTTTGTCATAGTTGTACTAGGAGGGAGAAGAGAGGGTTAGAATACTCCACAGCCTTTTTGTTGCCAGGCTCTGGCTAAGCTGGAGGGGTGAGGACTATCTGAGGGGCTCGCCTGGTTTGGAATCCTGGCTCTGCCACTTCCTAGGTGTGTATCCTTGGGCAAGTTACTTCTATGCCTCAGTTTCTTCATCTTCTGAATGGAGATAATAATAGTACCTACTTCAGAAGGTTATTATAAGGATTAAATGAATGAATACATTTGAAGCACTTAAAATAGCAGCTGGCACATAGGAAGCACTCAGTAAATGTTAGCTCTTATCCTGGGTGGGTGACAGTCTCCAAATCTTAAAAATAAAAATACCTTGTATAGTGCTTTTAACTCTTCATAGTACTTTTGTATCTATTGTAATTTAACATACAGAAGAATCTAATTAGGTAAGACCAAAAACCAAACGCGTTGCTCCTGAGTCAATTCCGACTCATAGCGACCCTATAGGACAGAGTAGAACTGCCGCATAGGGTTTCCAAGGAGCAGCTGGTGGATTCGAACTGCCAACCTTTTGGTTAGCAGCCAAGCTCTTAACCACTGCACCACCAGGGCTCCTAATTAGGAAAGGAAGACCCAAATTGTTTCGCTACCATTTGTTGGGTAGCTGCTCTGTGGCAGGCACTGGGATAAACACTTTAAACATTATCTCTGGTCTTTACTACCATCTTTGGGAAAGCTGTTTTTACCTCTGTTTTGCAAATGAGGAAACTGAAACACAGATAGTAACTTGCTTAAGGGTATATAGCTACTAAATGGCAGAGCTAGATTTAAACCCAGGTCTTTCTGACTCCAAAGCCACTCTCTTCTACTGTGTCATATCACAGCCTCACAAACGACTTGCCCAAGGCCATAAAGCAAGGCAGTGACTAGAATCCAGACTTTGTAACTAGTTCCATGCTTTTATCATTACTAGACCATAAGCCACTTGGTTCCTGGGTGAGTTCTCTGCCGGTCCCTAGCCCCCAGCCTCAGGCCCTGCTGTGAGACCATTAAGCTCGTGACTGTCCTAGGCTCAGCCCCCAACCCTTCCCGCAGGTCCTGCTTCTCTGCCTCATCCTCCCAACCTCATAACCCGGGATCTTAGCCTCATGCTGTGTTGCCTGCTCCGTTACCTCGCCCTGGCTGCCCCTGGTTTTGTTACCTCCTTGCAGTCCATTTTCAGATCTTGTCCATTGATCTCTACCCGCACAATGATCACCTCATAATACCACTCCCTCCGGATGGGTGTGTACCAGAGACTGCCCGTGTACAGTGAGTGGTCGATACCCCCAATGATCTGGGGAGAAAAAGAGGCAGGCACCCGTGTTACCACACAGAGGGAAGCAAGCACTAGGATGGCGATTTCTTGGGATGTCAAGGCTCTCTGTAGATGACCTTTTTCATCTTCCTGCTTCCAATCAAATCACGCCACAAAGCGATTTATAGTTTCTTTAATGTGTTCAATGGAAATGACTTTCCAGGATTTTTAATTGTTTCAGAATCACACAACCCTTGATATAAAGTTATTTAAACCGAAACTGGCACAATAAATGTTGAATGAATGATTATTTGCTTCTATTATAAGTTTTATTTTTCTCTGCTTGTTGGAGATGGAGAACCGTTCACCATTGTCCTAGTTAAATTAATAGACTTAACCTCCCTAGATCTCTGCCTTCTGATCATCAGACTGAATAATCTTAATTTGGTGGGTCTTATTTTCATTTAATCATCTCTGATCCTATCCAGATCCATCTGAGATAGGTTTCTCAGATCCTTTCTGGAGTAATGCAAAGAAGAAAAGGATGGAAAAAGAAAAGTAGGTAGAGGTGGGGAGGATAACGGGTTTCTCCTGATTCTAAATAGTGGAGCCCAAACTGCTGCAGCCTTGGAGTGGAGGAGATGGCACCAATCTCTCTGCCCAGCGCCATTACCTCTCCTCTGAGGACCTACTCACCATGCTCCCTCCTACAGAGGCCAGCACCTCTGACTGGTTGAGAGGGAAGCCAGCACCGCAGAGCTGCAGGGAGAAGAGGTTGGGAACGTGGGTCTGCTTTACCAGAGAGTCGAAGAAGGGCTCCAGGGAGTCGTCGGGCTGTGGCGAAAAGAGACAGAGTGAATCCTCACACAGGACCTTGGTGGAAAGAGGATAGCTTCCTGCCTAAACTGGAAGGCAAAAGCAAAAACTTGAGGGATGATCCTTGGGAAAGACCATCTTGAAGTACCGAGATTTGGTAGAGAAGGGGTTAGTAAGACACATTGGCAGTGCAGGTAGAAAGTACTGATGGGCTATAGCTCTATAGGATCTTGATCCCCAGATACCTAACCTGTTGTAGATATATGGGGCCTCTTCGTATTCTTAAAGATCTTAGAGTAAATAGGAACCACAGTCTATTCCTGTACCTATCACAACTTCTTACCATAGTTCTACCCTCTCTAGGGATGAAATTCAAACTACCACCTAGCCCCTTGTTAAATAATCTTCCTTTAAACTGATGTGTTTCCCTCCCTTTGTTCCTTCCCCTTCTGTCTGCCAACTCCTTCCCTGTAGCATGCAGTGTGCAATGTGCAGAGGGCGTGTGTAGGGCCAGATCTTGTCCCTCTCACCCTGGCGATCTCTGCATAGGCCAGCCCCAGGATGCCCTCCCAGTTGGAGCCATTGATGAAGAACTTGTCTGATTCAGTGATGGCAGCGATGTTGGCACGCACGGTGACGTTGGGGCCATGGGGGATGCTCACCAGGTCGGTGCCCAGCTCCCCCTCCCACTTGCCCTGGGTGTAGGGCACATACACGCCCTTCCGGAGGTCCCGATATGTGCTGGACCTGTGGAAAGGAAGCAGGTTCGTGGATGCGTAGCCACAACAACTGGTATAGGGATCCAGCATCAAGTCTCCTTCGAAATGCCTAACCTTACTTCAGTGGCATCCCTGACTAGTCTGCCTTTTGGCTGTTCCACAGAACACCCTTAGATTGATCACCTTGCACACAGATGAAGGGAGCTATTGCTGGGGCTCTCTCCTGCTTCCATGGCTCATGTTCCCCAATCTGGGGCTCAGGCCCCCTGTGAGGAACAAGCCTAGGCTTTGTGTATTGTGCCTGTTGCTGCTGAAGGAACAGATAGTAAGCATCTCCTTCTCCGCCCTACCCCCATCCCCCAGTGCCATCAAGCTCCCAGAGAAAAGGAGTCATTGACTCTCTTGCTGCCTTGGGACCTGGTGGTACCATCTGACTAGTAGAGAAAGTGCCAGGCAGGGGAATGTGGAACCTCTGCAGCAAGTTCTTCCAGAGAAGAGATTTGCATAAGTATCTCAGCAGAGCAGATAGGTACTGCACACCACTTGTGTGAAACATGCTCGTAAACATGTGACACCACCAACTATGTTTAATCACACCACTAGCCAGGCTTGTGTGTGCATGGTGGGGGGCAGCAAGGGGATACAAAGGAACTGGAACGAATCCCCTTTCATTGATCCCGACCATGCCCCACTCCCTGACTGCTTTTTTTAGATCAGGAAGTAAAAGGGGAAGGGGCCAAAAAAGACAGGACGTGGTAAAGTTGGATTTTGCACCTGCCTAGAAGTCCAAGAATGGGATTTAAGCCTCTACTCACGTCTTGACACACAGAAATGTCTCAGACATTAGATGTCCTCTGGCCACTTCCTCTTCCTGCTTTTATGCTAACGGGGCTCCCAGATCATCATTCGCTGCCTCTCTGACCTTTAAAACCCACGTCAACCCTCCCCTCCACCAGTAAGCTGAATCCAGCTGGTAGAACTCTGGGAGGTGCGGAGAGGAGATATTTTAGCTTTCAGTCCCTGATATTGGTCCAGGTGGTGGGATTTATGGAAGGCTCTTTCCTTTACTTCACTGAATTGTGCAAAGCCACCTAGAGTGGTCCCTGAGCCCTAGCGGTGAGAACAGCAAAGGGAGCTATCATTGCAGCCTGTTCAGCCTAGACTTAGTTGGTATTGCCGTGAAAACAGCCATGGAGGGGATGTGGGAGGAAGCCCTCCTCACCCGCCATTCAGGCAGAGGGAACAAAGGCTAGGAAAGACCCGTGAGGCTGCTCTGTGAACTGTGGGGCTGCTCTCCCTCTCTCTTCACCTCCCACAGGAAGCTGCCCTGTCTCAGTACTGAAGCACTCCCTGGCTGCCTCTCAGCTTACCGTTTCCCATAGTATACCTCCTGAAGCTCACCCTTCTCTCTTGGTCACTCTCCCCTTTTCTCTTCCCCTTACCTAGCAGGAAGAAAGCATCTGAGGATCTAGTCTTTCTCTTTATACCCCTCCCTAGACCCTTCTCAGCCCTGGATCCTTGGAAGGGTTCTTCCCCCCAGCTCTCCCCAGAACTCACAGCTGCCTCTGGTAGTAACGGTGCAGGAAAGGGTGGGGTGCAGCCCCCACTGCAAAGTTACTGCTGCCTGTGTCCACCAGGATGTTGAGCTGTCAGAGAAAAGGGAAGAAAAAACGTTATGGACAGGAGGCCAGATAGCCACACAGTCTCCCTTTGTAATGTCCAGGGTGAAGCTTCCATGACGCAGGACTGGACAGGCCGCACCTGCTAGTACCGTGACCACAGTCAGAATCTAGAGACATATGGTGTCCTCAATACGGCCTCAGAAACCTTTTGTCTGCTCCTCTCTGTAGAATCATAGCATTTTCTTTCTCATCTGAGCCACGTTATCTCTCCGTGTGTATGTGTGTTTTATCTTCATTCCTGTTCCTCTCTACCGCCAGATAGCCCTCTGCTCACTTTGTATACCTGACTGATACTCTTTCAGAGCTTGCCCCTTCCTCTCCTTTTCTGTTCTCCCAGGAAGCATCTCCCTCAGCAGGCAGCGTGGCTCATCTAACCTCCAAGAAGAGCTATTCTAGGAGCTGGCACGGGTGAGGGGAGCTATGGGGACCAGGATGGCACATCGGTGCCCACATGTGTTTCTGACTCTGCTTACCAGAATGTGGCTCCCTGTGGAGGGCTCCCTTCTGTCTGAGAGGTGACATAGACCAATAACTCCTACTGTCAGATGTAGTGGGGAGCTAGGAGCCCAGGATGATGTCCTGGTGAAAACCCATCTAGTCTGGGCCCTCGGTTTTGGCTGAGTTAACACGGGCAGGTGTCTTCTTGGTGTTTCTCACTGTGCAGCTTCTTCTCCTAGCATTTTCCCTGCCTTGTCCTTCCTCCTCTCTTGCCCTGACCCCTCCCTCAGTCGGCCCAGAGTCATATTTTAATGCCTATTGTATCCTCATAGGCAAAAAGAGCAAAGGCCCCTGTCCTAAGAAAAATGGCCACTTGTAAATTGAATGCTCTCTCTAGCCATGTCCATCCCTTCAACTTCTCCCTGACCTCAGGATCCTTATTTTTGGCTCCTTCTCAGTGGAGTGAGAGCTGGCCCTGGTTTTGGTGCAGGCTCTTTCTCTCACCTTGAACGGGTCAGTATGCTTCTCTGGGCTTCAGTTTCCTCGTCTCTGCCAGATCCTCTCTATGGCTTCTCTGGGCTCTCAGTGGTGCCTCTCTGGCTATGATGACTGTCCTCTCCGTAGCTCCCCTTAGTCTTCTTGGCCTCCCCCAGGCCCCCAAAGATTCCTCTCCACTATCTCCCCAGCCCTCTGATCCTGCCTTCTCCCTCCTTCCCAGCCCCCTCCTCCTGGCCTGCTTCCCATTTCCCTCCCTGCCCCCCTCTTTCCTTACTTCTACCCTCTGTCCCTCTCGCTGGTCTCTGAGCAGCCACCAGCTCCAGATGCTGTGCTTTCAGAGAAAATCAATAGAGCTGGGAAGCTCAGCAGTTCAGATTTCAGTCAACCAGGTTAATGATTAAAAAGGCTTCTTCACCCACCTATGCCCCAGGATCCCCCTCCCCCACCTTTCTAGGACTCAGCTCCCAGCTCTGGGGGTTGGCCTCATTTACAGGGATCCCTGCTAGTACTGGACCCCAAAGAAAGAGGGTCTCGCCTACAGCACTGGTCCCTGTGGTCCATGTAAGGGAGGGACTACTTGGAATGTATGTGCCTGGCCAGCTCTAGGAAAACATGGAGCTTTTACTTGGGGTCCCTGCCGTCCCACCTGTTCCAGGCACCTGCCTCCCCTCTCCCTTCCTGCAGGGGTGGGCAGCTGTCTCTGCAGGCTACTCCGTCCCTAGCCAGGAGGCCCTGGCTCTCTTGTTGCCCTTCCAGTCTCAACCTTTCTCCTTTGTCTGAAGGTCTCCCCGCTCCACCCTAAAGGGGGCCTAGCCCAGGAAGGAATGACCCCTCCACTCCCATCCCCCTTATACCACCTTCACCCACCTCTGTTCCAGGATCCTGGCCACCATTGCTCTCTGCCTCCCACTCACCACCCTCCACAAAAAAAAAGGGAAACCAAAATAAATAGTTGAGATTCCTCCCTGAGCAAATGTCTGACTGTCTGTCCTTTGCAGTGTGATTCTGCTTCTAAGAGAAGTAATTTCCAGTCCTGTCCTCCCACAGTTCTAATCCAAGCCATGGCTGTGTGGGGTATCCTGACTGGGCAGCCTCCTTTCCGCCTCTCTCCCCTTCCTGCTCCTGTTGAGGCCTTTTATAGGGCAGGGGCCTTAGGCAAAACGAACTGAGTCACTGCACTCATTTTGAAATAGGGTAGGCACTTAAGGGCAACCTGAAAGAATATATAGTGAAAGGGTTGAATGCTGCCCAAAACCTCAGCACATGACCTCACCTCTTATTTCAGAGAATTGGAGGCCATGAGACAGGACCTCCCTCATCTCCCACAACCAATCATTTCGATGCCTATGGCTACATTGGCCATTCCTTCCTCTCAGCTGCCCCTCCTGGCGTAGGTACGAGCTTCCACCTGGGCTTTGGAGTCCCTTCCCTCCCCACTTCTCAGGCACCTTACCCTATTATCCTTTTTTCTTCAGGTAGATTCAACCACCACCACCCCAGCCCCTAACCTGGATTTTTCCTCTTGGTGTTTACAAATGCTTGAGAGTCACTTCATTAAAAGAAAAAATAATCTTCAGTCTCACATCTGCCTCCAGCTACCCTCTTTCTCCTCCCCCTTCACAACCAAAGTTCTCAGCCAGGCTGTCTTCATTTCTTCACCTCCCACTCACTCCTCAACCCATTCTAAAACTGGGTTCTGCCTCTCTCCTTTACTACAGTTACCAATGATTTCATGTCACCAATTACAAAAGTCATTCTTTGAGTGAGTTCTCATCTTGGCTTGACTTCTCAGGAGCATCAGCACTTGGTGATTTCTCCTGCCTTGAATCACTTTCCCTGTCACCATATCTTGTACTTTTCCTCCTACCTCTCTGATCATGTCTTCTCTGTTGGCTTTGCAGACTCACTTCTCAAGGACTGGACTTTGGCCTTCTTCCTCTCATGCTATACCCTCTCCCTAAGCAATCTCATTCACGCCCACAGCTGCAATGATCACATATGTCCTAATAACTCCTAAGTTTATGTTGTTGTTGTTAGTTAGGGTTGAGTCGGCTCCAAATCATGGCGACCTCGTACAACAGAATGAAACGTTGCCCAGTCCTGTACCATCTTCACAATCATTGATGTGCTCGAGTCCATTGTTGTGACCACTGTGTATTTTGAGTGCCTGCCAACCAATGGGGGTCATCTTCCAGCACTATGTCAGACAATATTCTGTTGTGATCCATAGGGTCTTCATTGGCTGTTTTTGGAAGTAGATCACCAGGCCATTGTTCCTAGTCCACTCAGTCTGGAAGCCCTGCTGAAGCCTGTCCACCATGGGTGATCCTGCTGGTATTTGAAATATTGGTAGCATAGCTTCCAGCATCAGAGCAGCACACAAGCCACCACACTATGATAAACTGACAGATGGGTGGTGGCCTTAGCTTATAGCTCTAGCCCATTCCTCTCCTTCGAGCTCTAGATGCACATAGTGAACGACCTCAGAGATAACCTCAACTTCAGTGTGTCCAAAGCTGACATTATGTTGTTCCCCAACCTGGTCTTCCTGCAGGGCCCTTCATGGTCCAGCCTTGCCTATAGATCCAGCCTAAGCTTATCCTAGACTCCCACAAGCCACTCTGCCCACCAGCCATACTGGCCTTATTTCAGCTCCTCAAACCAGCCATGATCCCTCCCTCCCTCCAGAGGCTGTTCGCAGCCTATGCCATTCACTCTGCCTATACCATCCTCCTTTCTACTTGGAGTTTAGTCTACTTAATCTGCTGCTCAGCCTGTGAACTGTGAGAGAAGGAGCCCTATCTTTTTTTAATCCTGCAGTAGATGTCACGGCACCTGGCAATAAGTATTTCTTGAATGAATGGTTAAAGGAAAGAAAAAGGAGAAAGACCTAATTTACCCTGTTTTTTGGGGTGGTGGGTGAGGGAAGAGATCCCAAACTGAGTGTTTCTAGGCTATAGGGGTTGCTCTAGCTCAGATATGCCTCCTGTACACCATCCCTCTCACCTGGCCCCCTGGTTTGACTCAGGGTCCTATGGTGCATGTCTTCATGCTAGCTGTGGTATTGGAGCCATCTTACTTCTTCACCTGTCCCTTTGTGGCGAGGCAGACCCAGGAGTCTCCTTAGCTATTGCCTTTAGATGCCTAGGGGGCTGCAGACTGGGGTCAGGGCTGGGTCATTGCCAATCACTTAACAAACAAATGTGTCCCAGGGGGCCTCTGAGGGTAGGCAGCTTCTTGGGAAGTACTAACAAGCCCCACAGGGAAAGGCACACCTGCCAATGGTTCTTACACAGCAAGGCTCCTCTAGAGGAGTTCTCAGCAGTCGCTGTTGGGAGATGAGATAGTTATGGAGCTGGCGAGTTTAGGGTGAGCTCTTTGTTCCTCAAATCCCACTTGTTTTTGCCCCAACTCATAGATTCTTATGGATGAAAGGAGCCTTTAGGAGTCATCTGTCCATTCTCCATGCCTTGAGAGATGGGGACTCTTTCTGATTCTGACAGGTCTCTAGTTATTAAGACTCCACCACCTTTCTTGGTAGCCTATCCCAATGTTTTACCACTTTTACAAGCCTCTGGAAGTGTCTAAAGTCCCTGAGTGGTGCAAACAGTTTGCGCTTGACTACTAATTGAAAGATTGGTGGTTGAGATCTACCCAGCGGCACACAGCAGAAAAGACAGACTTGGCAATCTGCTTACGCAGAAATAAAAAAAAAACAAAAAAAAAACCATTGCTGTGAAGTCAATTCCAACTCACAGCGACCCTATAGGACAGAGTAGAACTCCCCCATAGGGTTTCCAAGGTGCAGTTGGTGGACTTGAACTGCTGACCTTTTGGTTAGCAGCCCTAGCTCTTAACCACTGCACCACTAAGATCACAACCATTAAAAACCCTATGGAGTGCAGTTCCACTCTGAAACTCATGGAATCGTTGAGTCAGAATTGACTCGATGGCAACAGGTTTTGGTTTGGGGAGGTGTCTTAACTCCAATCTTCCTCCTAAAGGGGAAGTCCATTTCCTATGTGTGG